TTAGTAGTCGCTGCTTTCCTTGATATAAAGTCCGCGTACGATAATGTAATTTTATCGATATTAACGTCTAAATTGGAAGCTCTTGATGTTCCCCTCCGATTTTCTATCTTAATTATTAATTTACTTAATGAGCGAACTGTAAATTTAATATTTGATTTTGACAATGACATGGCCAGAACTGTCTGGAAAGGTTTACCACAAGGTTCTGTCCTAAGTCCTCTATTATATAATGTTTATACGTATGATTTAGAAACCGTATTTGAAAATAATGTTAAAAGAGCTTCGTCCAATGTATCATCTGCTTTGTTTTGTCTAAAGAAATGGCTTGATCAGAATAGCTTAAGCCTTTCAGTGTCTAAAAGTAGTGTGGTGATATTTTCTAGAAAACGTAAGGTTCTCCCAATACAAATCATGTATGATGTTGATAGTATTCCTGTTCAAGACAGCTTCAAATACCTGGGAATTATCTTAGACTTCAAAATTACCGGCGCACAGCATTGTGAACATTTGGTTAATAAATGTGAACGCCTTTTAAATATTCTTAGGTGTTTAACTGGTGTCTGGTGGGGCGCTTATCCCTTTACTCTCAAATTACTTTATAATTCCTTGATACGTAGTATATTAGACTATGGTACTTTTTTATTAGAACCTGGGAGTAGTAGCGCTTTAAAAAAGCTTGACCGTGTACAATCAAAAGCTCTAAGATTGGTTACAGGAGCCATGAAGTCAAGTCCAATCAATGCTTTACAGGTAGAGTGCTGCGAATCACCATTACATCTTAGACGCCAATATTTATCAGATAGGTATCTCTTTCGTTTCATCCCGTTAGCTCATCACCCAATATTTTTGGGCTGCAATCTCTGACAGAAAAAATGGAATCTTCCAATTATTGGGTTAATAAATGTCCTCCATGCTTAATAATTAGCTACAAAAAATATTTGAACCTCCAATCCCCTGTACATCTTTCTAATTTACTTCCTCCTTTTGAAGCTAATAACGAGTCCTTGATTTTATGTCCAGATATTATTTTAAATTCTATTAACAAAAATTCAAATACCTACAAAATTTAATTTCATATACCTTATTGATACTGAATATAATAACCATCATCATATTTACACGGATGCCTCAAAACATAATCCATCTGGTAATGTAGGTATAGGAGTGTATCATGCCCAATATAACCTTGTTCAAAAAATCAAATTGCCCCTTGAATCTTCGGTTTTTACAGGCGAATGTTAAGGTCTTTTGAAGGCCTTGGATTACATAATTACTATGAAACTTAAAAATACTAAGCAAATCCCCCCTCAGAATGAAATTTCATTTTCCATTTATTTATGAAATAAGAAAACTTCTTTACAAGTGTCAAACTAAAAACTTCTCCGTTCAGTTCACGTGGATTTCAAGTCACTGTGGCATTACTGGAAATGAGCTATCTGATAAGTTAGCAAATGAGGCAGTGTATTGTGGGGACATGCATCCTTACAAAAACTATAGCAATGACCTTTTATCTCTTCCTAAAGATGGTCTTTATAGTGTCTGGTGTAATATTTGGGAACGAAGTTCGCGAGAAAAAGGTAAATTCTTTGCATCAATTGAACCACACATTCCTATTAAACTTTGGTTCCGTAAATCCAAGTATGGTAAGAAAGATATCTCGATTGTAATTCGCATGCGTCTTGGAAATATCTGCACTCTTGATCATTTCACTAGAATTGGCATTATTAACAACAATATATGCGACTGCGGCATGGGTATGGTTGGTGATCTCAACCACATATTCTTTGTTTGTTTAAAATATGACCGCTCCTTTTTTTTCAATGATCTTGTGTCCCTCCCTCCATATTCCTTTCCCTACTTCTGTGACTACCTTATTGTCCACTAATTAATCATCTGTATATAATAGGCTAGTTGACCCTTTTTGGAAAAAGGTTTTAAATGTTTAATAAATGTTCTATTAGACCGAAAAAAAATGTATTGTATTTTTTTTAAACCTAGAAAGCTACAAATTTTTAATTTAAAAATAGACTTTTCATGGACATACAAAAACGCTGTCGGCCATTTTAGTCTATAGATTATCTATGCTATGACGTCAACTGTGGTAAACAAAAACTCGTAAACACGTAGAAAATAACTTATAACTCCGTTTATAATAAAAAAAAAATGGTTGCCTGTAAAGTCGGTTTTACGGGCGAAGATTTTACGTGACAACGTCTTTTTCTCGGTAGAATATTTATTGATATGAATATAATTAAATTGCACAATAGGAACAAGGAATTGAATGAAAATAAGAATTGCACAAATTTTAACTATAGAAATATATTTTGTTTACTAAAACATTGTACATGTAAACTTAACACGAGAGACTCATCGTAACGTTACCGAGCGTTACACTTTTTCATAAGTGACTCCCAGCCGCAACCTAATTTAAGACGTTGTCACGTCAAAAAACATGATTTCTAATAGATACCACGAAAAATAAAGTAATTATCATTACTGTATTGTACGAGAATATAAAAACACATCCCTGAAGACTCCAGGAAAGTTGTGAATTAAAGTGCCGAAAGAAATTAACCTACGCAACTTTATTACACTTATTCATATGTTGTATCAGTTTTATGTTTATTACTACATTGTAATACTAAATGCACTGTACTTACATAGATACCTTGTCATTTCTCTGCTCCGCAGAGCAGAAATCGGGGTTTAGTGCAAAAAATTCACCAATCATCAATGCGTCAATTCTTGGCAGATTTGTGCTTTCTGCTTTCACAAAGCCGGCATCCATAACTATTTTTGTCAAAAAACACTAAGTTTACTGTTTTTTTCTTTCCTAAAGTTAAAATTGTTATAACATAAATTTAGTCAGACGAAAGAATCCACCCACAGTAACACGCGAATGACATTTAGTTGTTTACCACAAGAGACGTCAAAATCATGGCGGATGTGGCGAACAGCGTTTTTAGTGTTTAAAAAATATAGACTAAAAAATATTTTTTAAAATTAAATTTCTACAGCAATCTTCTGCTTTTATGAAGTGAAATCGATATATTTAGGTTCCTTAGACCAAATACTTTAAGAAATAAACATTTATTTAATACAATTCGACATGAGTCAACTAGCCTATTGAATCACCAATTTCATCATCCATAATAATATTAAAATATAAATATAATTTGTGTATAAATGTTTATTGTGTTATTTTGTAAATATGTTAATAATTAATTTCTTTTGTATATATATTTTTTTTTAATTTAGTCTTGTACTAATATATGTATACCCTCCTGATCCTAATACTCAAAATCCCGAAAACCCACCTTTTCTTTTCCTTACGTTTCCTAACCTTTATAATAATTACGAAATTGGCTAAAATGCGCAAACCGTGCGAAGCCATACAAAAAAAAAGTCTGTGGGTGTATTCCGTACTACGTACCAGTATACTGGCCAGTGCTAATGACGTCATTAATCTACGCTATACTGGTGAATTGTTCCGAAATATACTGGCCAGTGCACTGACGTCATAAATCGACGAAATATTAAAAATAGGGCGAATAAAGAAGATATTTTTATATTTACCTCATTAATTAAAAGGAATTCTTTTTGTTCGGATGCCGTCATTGTTCTTTAAATAAAAAAGAAATAAAATTTGGATGCTTCTCGCGCACGCTCCGCCATACGTCATATTCGTTTTCCCGGTAAAAAAAATGGTAGCATACCTGTACAATATGGCGTCGGATTCGTGACGTCATTACCACTGGCCAGTATTAGTGATGTTACGGTCTTGAATTTTGACAAACCGGATTTGATCGGTTAGTAATACATGCAAATCGGTTTCCGAACCGAACCGCCAAATTTTCAGTAAACCGCGGTTTGAACCGGTTTGAACCGTTTGACGAGTTGACGAATGAAACTTACGAAACAACAGGTGCTATTTTTTTTTAATTCTACATATTTTGTTGATATTACATCGTGCAAATATTTAAAGGTAATTGAAAAATAACAATTAAAATATGAAAACAAATAATAATAATCAGAATTAAAAATGTCAAAATAAAAATAAACAAATATCTATGTAATACCGTGTTTAAAAAATTACAAAAAAATATATTAACTCTATTAATTACATAAAACCGTACTTCTTAACTTTGAGAATAAAATACAATTTTAATAATCAACAATATAATAAATACGTAACTTATTTTTGTAAAATCATTTGAGTCGTAGAAACTTAATTTGGTACAAACAACTTAATGCAAAAGTTTTCTTACAACTATTTAGGAATAATATTTGGTCTATTTTTTTAGAAGCTGGGCAATTACGTCGCATATTACATAATAATGAAAACAAAATTACACCGTCAAGTCAGTCAAATCTACCAGAGTCCGTTTCATTTCGGTTCGGTCGGTAAGTCGGTTATGGCTGTTGTATTTAAATTGGCGATGCGCGCTAACCGTATCCTCTGCTGTAAGTCGGTTCGTATTGGTCGGTCAAGTTTTATTAGGGTCGGTAAAGCACGTCAGGAGCCGAGCGCGATTTGTGGATGGCGGCATAAACAAGAATTGACAGGCGCGCATGCGCGCAGCGCGATACGAACGAATGCCACGGTAGAACCGGTTTACGAAGACGTTAACCGATTCAACTCGGTCCATGCTCAAACCGGTTTGAACCGGTTTGAAAAGTCGAGTCGTTACATCTCTAGCCAGTATACTGATGTATGTATATTTCGGAATACACCCTGTAAAAACTGGGCTGAATGTTCCCTTATACTTATGTTACTCTTTGGCTGAATGCAACGCAGGTTTTCGAGTGTCTGTGCTTTAAAGAGAAAATGTTATTGTTTATTTAATAAAATAATTGAAACTTGGAGAAGCAAGAAAGTGATAATAAGAAAACGAAATACTTAGTTATTGTTAACGATGGTTTAGTATTCAATTGCTCCCTGTCATACTTTCGAAAAGTGAAAGTTTAAGGAGTGGTCTAAGATTTAATTTTGTTTTTGAGGAACCATCCATCACCATCAGAATGTCGGTGACGTATTATGACTACTATGATGGAAGCAAAATATTCCAATTCATCTCCAGTAGAATTGGACTTCCTTTAGATCTAGTAAGTAACTATGTCATAAAAGTATATATGGCACAATGTATGTTTCATGTGAACTGCTCCACTTCGCAACACGCAAAACTAAATATTGACTAGTGAAACCCACAAGTTTGTTGATTTTACCAGCATAATGACGACTTTATTTTGATAATATAGTTTACTCTTGTATTTGTTTACTTACAATTTATGATCATTAAAGTACATGTTACAAATACAAAGTTTTGTATTTTAGTATTCTACTTTTGTCTTACAATTTAAAAATTAAGAAGATTGCAAAAATTTGTTTAAAACAACTTAACATAAAAAAAAATGTCTTTCATAAATCAATTTTACACTTGATAAAAGTGGTCAGTAATGTTTCAAAAATAATAATGTTTTTCTAGCTGTACATGCTGTTCTATTAAAATTATCTTTAAAAAAATTGTAGTAAATCAACTTGCTTACAGTTTGCTTGGAAGCGAATTCTTAGAATCTAGTATAAACATATAATTTAGTTATTAGTAGTAGTATGAATGCTAAAATAAACAGTTAATGAAAAGTGTTTGTCAATATCTTAAATTATAATAATTATATATATAATTTATGCTTGTACCAATAAAACTATTTAATTTATCGTTAAGACAAAAAGTAAGGTTACTAAAAACACTTATTATTTATTCTCAATAGTGGAGCACAGCTTTGCTTTTCTTTTTTTTTATTTTCATCAACAATACATTACACTTGCTGCACATGATTTTTTTATTTTTCATAACATTATTATTTTCCTTCCATTAGGTTAATTTTTTGATCGCACAAATAGCTGCACTATGCCTGGCCAGGCTGTTTCGGAAACCATTGAGATTTGCTTCGCCAGAGTTTCGCCATTCCGTGTGCCTTATTATAGGTTTGATAATGGGATATTTCTGCTTTGGAAAGTAAGTTAATTTCCATAACATTTGGTTCTGTCTTCAGCAGCTTTTGTGGTTCTAAAAATTACAAATGCATTCACATGCTTTTTTGTTCCTAGTTAATGTGTTATCTATAATTCACCAAAGGTATAGTGTTATTAATGCTAGCTATTAATTATTTTGATTGACTTATTATATGGGTCATGTAACAGGTTGTACACACCATATAATAGACTCTTCCACCTGTGACTTTCTCCTCTTTATATTAAGTTTTTTAAAAATCCCACAGGAACCTCACATCTTTCCGGGTAAAAAGTATTCTATGTGTCATTCAAGGTAGTAAACTATATAATTATATGCATAATTAAATCCTAATTAATTTACCCTTTAACATCCACATTTATATAAGCAAGACTAGGAAGTAGAATAACTAAGCACTGATCTCGAAGGTAAACATTTATATTTTATTCAGATTTTTCTATAAAAACCTAACCAAAATTCAACATATCATGTATAAATATAAAAAATCCGGAAAAAGAAAGCATAAAAGGTGATTATGGGTGTTACCTAGTTGCATCATTTTTTACCTAGATCCAAAGCCTGATTGAGGTCAATGACAAGATTCTCCTGTTTTTCCTTGGTTACCGCCTGTCCAGCCGCTGCTTGTCTGTGATATGCCGCATGCACTATACTATCGTCTGCACAATGAATAATCCTAAGAGTAATTAAGTCATTGATATGCAGCACAAAGAGAGTAGGGGACAGGATGAAGCCCTAAGGAACGCCGGTATTCACTGACTTGAACCGGGAACTAATACCATCCGTAAGGACACTAATTCTACACTCATGCAGGAAGTCAACTACCCAGGAACAGAACTGGGCCGGCAGACTTTATGCCGAAAGCTTGGCGAAAAGGCTTTTGTGCCGGACCCTGTCGACCGTCTTGGCAATGTCAAAGCTGATAGCCAACGACTCGCCCCGCTTGTCCATAGCCTCATCCCAGATATGTGTCAAGTACGCTTAGAAGATCACCCGTCGATCGTTTCGGTCTAAAACTATATTGACGATCATTAATCAGGGTGTGATCCTCTAGGTAGTGGGTCAGATAGTTGTTAAGGACCTTTTCTAGGACTACATAATACTGAGGTGATTGCTATTTGCTGGTAGTTTGCCGTGACTGAGCGTTCCCCTTTTTTGGGCACCGGTTGCACGTTAGCATCTCTCCAAGTCTCCGGCACACGCCTCAAAGAATACGAGCATTGATACAAGATACCCCGGAGACAACTCCGCTGCACATTTTTTTAGCACTACTGCTGGGATGTCATCAGGTCCACTTGCTTTCCAGGCGTCGAGTGATTACAATTCGGTACGGGCCCCACGTTGCCTGATTTTAATATCAGGTATCGTTGTGCCACAATAAGGTAATGATGGTGGCAGTGCATTGCAATCATCTATTCGGGAGTTAGGCGCAAAGAGTTTTGCTGGTAAATCGGCTTTCTTCTGTGGCTCATGAGCTAGTGTTCCATCTGGGCATCTCAGAGGTGGCAGTAATGAATTAGTATCTTTCAAGCACGCAATGTGCTGTACATTTGTTGCAGTACAAATACTCGGTGAACGACAATAACCCGTTCTACAAATGACTTTGTTTTAATTATCTAAAAGATTAAGTATCAAAATCTACTGTTCAGATAGAGAAACCTATCTGGTTCAATGATTTCAATAAAAAAAAAACCTAGATTAAAATACTTAATTGATAAATTATCATACTTCCTCATGACCTTTTAACCGTCTTAAAAGGTGTGCCTCGAACTGCGCTCCATTCATCTCGAGGCAAACTCGAGCTCGTCTTTGTATCTCTTGGTGAAGACAAAGCAATAGAGTCCATAACACAATTGGCTCTTAGCTTTTCAAAGACACTTTCGACTCGAGCCTGCATCTCGTTTGCACTATCACACTCCCGATTAAACGCTCTAATCGTTCTTTGACGTATCCCCACAAAAACGTCTAAAGATGTTAAATCCGGAAAGCGCGCCGGCTAGGACAACTAAGTACGAGCCACGTACAATGTGATAGTGCACCATCGGGTTGAAACCAAACTCGTCGTAGCTCGGCCTGTGGTATTTCATCTAGCATATCAACTAAATGCGCGTTGTTGGAAGTGTAGGTACCCAGGTCCGTTGAGTCGAAGCAGGAACACTGGCCCAATGATGTTATTATTTAAAACACATCCCGTCGATGGACCATCGGACCTGATGGCCGGTCTTTTGGGTGGTATGTAGATTTTCTTCTGATCATACGTGAGCATTTCTTCTATTCCACATTCCATTTCTAGTAAATGTGGAGTTGTCCTTCCAATTAATGTGCTCAACGAAGCGCGTCGTTGATCAAGTAGTCCACGACAATATTCACGTCGACGACGCTGATCAGTGGGTCTCAACGCTTGTACCTTACGAACTTTTGTAGGATTGCATTCTGTTCCGACGAAAACTTTAGGACCTGTCCAGTGAGAGACAGTCCGGCCACCCAGACGCCTCGATAACTTTGCCACAGTACACACAACACACGTTGTTCCGTTAATACATCCACTGGTCGTTTACATAAATCACGTTCTCGGACGCCTCAATAACTTTGCCGCAGTACGTACAACACTCGTTATTCCGTTAACACATCAACCTGGTCGTCTACATAAAACACGTTCTTCCGTTAACAAAACCTGGTCGTCCACCACCAGTCGCCACAGGAGCAATCGGGCTATTTTATAACACTCGCTTAAAATCTGCTGTTATCATTCGAGAATCAGACGGATGCTGGACGTTAGGCAAACTTTCCCTGTAAATCCGTAATGCAAGAGAAGCATTTTCACGCGGTTTTCCCTAACACTCGTTCTCACGGGCACTGTAAACGTACGCATTAGGCATCATAAACTACTTAATTAAACTAAACTTTAAATAAATTAATCTGTCATTTTTCCAATTTTTTTTGAAAGACGAGAACAGCCATTTTTTTTCTCTATGTATTGTTCTGTAAATAAAATGTGGTGACTCATAAATTTTATTACTTTCATATAAGGAGTATTTAATTCTCTATTAAACACAATTTATTCCATTAAGCTAGTATTCTTAGTTTGCGAGATTTTTAGGATTCTTTAAGTGACCCGGATTGATTGCTCTCCAGTGTATTACTAATTAACTTATAAAATAACAAACAACGAAGAGGAATTAATAACACGCAAGAATCACTAATTAAATACACATTCGCAAACCGATCCGGAAAGGAACTAAATTTCGTCGCACGCACATCAATCGCAACGAGCTGCTCCTGTCGCATGTCTGGGGCATCCCGAAAAGCCTGTCATAATAATGAAGTGGGACCAAAGAGTAGTAGTTAGATAGTTCAGCGTGAGCGCAGCTCGGAAATTCTAAAACTTTTCATTCAGATTAAATTAAAATTAGATTTTACTGATATCAATTTGGAACCTTCTGTCCTACATCTTTACTATGCAAAACTCAATATTGTCTTCGTTCACCGCCGACAGGCGGCGCAGGCGCGGCTTGGGCGCACTGGCTAGATGCCAACTAGCTACGTGCTTATTGCATCGCTCGGGTCAATGGCATGTTCGCTGATTTATTGAATATTTTTTACATAAACTAATTTTGGTTCGATTTTGTTTCTGCTTTCGACTTTTAGGTTCAAAATGAAAAATAATAAAAAGCAATGTTACACACTTGCTAAATAAATATTTCGAAAACCATAAGTCGTATCAATAATAAATGAATACGGTATTTTTCGTATTGTAAATCATAAATAAAATATTACTGGTAGGTATTCTTCATTATAGATAGGTACCTTGTTATCATGTAAAACTACAAGTTTAGTAGTTTATGTAATGAAAACAAGTTTGAGTTATTGCAACGCAAAACTCAAACCTCGGGAACCAATAAGTCTGTGTAATTGTTCATAATCAAGACTGCTTGCATAAAAACAGTAGGTCATGTAGTTGCGAGCAAATTACGTACTGCTTAGGTACTTAACTACTGCAGAAACGTCTGCACTTTTTCGGTACAAATAATTATACTCAATTTTACTGTTTTCTTTCTTTCAGACAATCAATACATTTATCCGTTTTACCTATGATGAGTTATACTTTAATAAAAACTATACCCCGACATCTTACAGGAAAGTAAGTAATAATCTATAAACCTAAGGTAGGAACAGTGTAGGAAGTTAGCAAACCCACGAGTGACATATGGCCAGTTTTAATAATCTAACCCTAGTAAAAGGTAGGGTTAATCTAAACCTTACACAGTAAAAGATAGTGCTGGTTAAATAATTTATTCTAATTTAAATAGTAAAAATATCTAGGCAACAAAGCTGAAAATAACAACTGGATGTAAAGAAACGGAACTATATTATCCTTACTTTATCTTTTACTAGTTGATTATTAAAACTAGTCAGAGAAACAAAAACTGCGTTTTATCTATCGTAGATTATAAATTATTATACGCATAAAACAAAACTCATTAAGTACTGAAAGATTTGCATATATTTATTTTAATTAATAAGTAATTAAAAAATCATAAATATTTTTCAGCGTTATATTAGCGACATCGATGTTGTATCTGTCATGCCTACATTTGCATCGGCAAATTTATCACACTGCAGACTACTCTTTGGATATAACAGGTAATTTAACAGGTTCCGTTTTCCCATACAACACAGAGTATTATTGATTCTGTAATGTCCAAACGCTTTTAATTTATTCAATAGCATGAGCACCGCGATATGATATATAACGCGTTATTATCACGCCCAATTGTCAAATTACAATGGAGTTTGGCAGTTAGACGCGATAAAAAACGTGATAATAAATATAATGTAAATTGTGGTGCTTATGCTACAGGGGCTGGCGTCCGTTCCGAAAATAATGGGTATATCACGGAAGCACATAGATGTTTAAAAATGTGTTTTAATTTCAGGCCCCCTGATGGTTATAACGCAGAGGGTAACTTCTTTGGCTTACACATTACAAGATAGTGCTGGTCAAAAAGAAATCAACTGCAACTCTACGAGTCAAAGTTCAAATGGTCCCTGTAAAGTGAGAGTTGAGGACATTCCTTCGCCTCTGGAGTATTTCGCATATACCTTAGCGTTCCAGACGTTGATGTGTGGCCCTGTTGTTTTCTATAGTGACTACATAAAGTTTATCGAAGGCGCAAGGGTGAGTTTGTGTTTTTATTTAAGAGACTAATTTATCGTTGTATCCAATTTCATTCATAGAATTTCGAAGAAGTTTTGAGTATTTGACTCAAAAGTTTGTCAAAGTTCGTGTCAATAATTATGTTCTTAAGCAACGTTTCCCAAACTTATGACCCAGTTATTGTACTGTTTCCCCGTCTTGACCAACAGCAAGTTTTAAACCCTAAAAATACTTTTCTCGACCATGCTTGGGAGCATTATAGTGGGAAGTAAACTGAACAGTTGGAACCTCCTGTATCGAACATAAAACGCATTTTTTGTTATCGGTGGCGTCTCAGTGTCAGTCTCGCCTAAGCGTTTTCCGGTTTTCATTGCTTTGCTATCAGTTTTATCCATTAAATTTTCTACCTTTACAAGAAATTACACCTGTGACTTAACGAGTCCTTCTTTCTTTCGAAGTTTGGCAATTCGCTACAAGCTCAATAATGACCAAGGACCTTTGAATTTCCATATCCGCAGCTGCTGTAGCTCAATTTCAGCATTTGCGATCTCGTTTTTCCTAGCGTTCTCTAGCTCGATCTGTTTTAGTATAGTGACGGAAAATGAGTAGTGCATGTTACTTACGTCTACTACCGCTCACTGGCACTTTTTTCTCGTTTGCACCGGTACTAGCATTTTCGCAGTTGATTTGCTGTTTTCGTTGTTACCTTTTCTTTTGTAGGCGGGTTTTGTAGGGAGTTCGGCATTAAAATTTCCTAGCAGAGCTAAGGACAACTTTTAGCTGACCAGGGGGCCAATCGCCTAACTGGATTGCTGTGGAAAACGCTATCGCTTACGATTTCATTTTGTTATTTCTAGCCGCCTGAGGTTTTCAAATGCCTCGCGCTCTTTTTTTTTCTTTTGCATTGGTAATAACAATGTTAAAGAAAATGAGCGTGAGGTATTTGAAAACCTTCGGCGGTTAGAAATAACAAAATGAAATCGTAAGCGATAGCGTTTTCCAAAGCAATCTGGTTAGGCGATTGGCCCACAGAAGCGTGGGAGCTGCAGGGAAGATGCAAAGACAAAAGACCCGGTTTAGCGGCCAAATAAATTACATAGTAAACATAATGTTATTGAAAAATGCCTGGGTACTACTGATATTAAATTTGATTGTAGTACCTACCATTATTTAAGAAAATTACTATACAAGTCTTGGCCACAACTAGGCATTATTGGACTAACGTTTGTGTCCTCGGTTTCGCCTCAGCCACGTCTTGTCCATCGATGCCTCTTGCTGGTCGCTGCGGTAATGAAGATACTATTTCAATGTCTGTCTACGTTGCACACGCAACAGCGAAGCGAGCGTTTACATATTCGTTTCGTTTGCATTCTTGACACAAAGTCTCTTTAATGTCTTCCTATTATTGATGTAACACATAATATTATTAACGAGCCTAGCGAAACTACTCACTCAAACATAGTAAATTCTTCCCTAGTTTGACGAAGACAAACAAGCAATTGAGCCTTCACCGAGACTGGCCGTAATATACAAGGTAGCTGGATCTATAACCGCTGCCGTTCTTTACCTAACGCTCGCTAAGAAATATTCGTTATCGGTCTTGGAAGGTAAGTACTTGTTATTTTCATCTATTATCATCGTATCCGGAGCCTTACACCTACCGCAAGTGCTTGTTTTTGTGCCATTACATATACAAGAAACTTTTTATTTAGATCTTCATTGACTGTCATAACATAAAGTCAATTGTCTTTTTGCGATTCCCATCAGTCCCAATATCTATAAATAGTGCAGTCTCTCTTTATTTTTGGCCCCATGTTAATATTTCAATTCAGAGATACAGTAAACAAGAATATGTAAATAAAACGGAAATTTTGCCGTAGATTTAAAGAAATTACGAACATCTTGGGGGCCCAAAGTTGGTCAAAAACGGTTTTTCCATTTTTCTCTGTCATGGTGCCATAAAATAAAAAAAAACATAAGTTGTAGAACTATTAAATAACAGATTTTAATGTTCTTCTGGCAATATTAATTTATTAATGGAAAAATTAAAAATGGCATGCTATTACAGGGGATTACAACAAAATTATTTATCTAGTATTGATATGCCTGACATAGTTTTTACAATATCATTCCAATAATAACTTAGATATTCGATCGATTTACTAGCTTACCGAGATATTTCGAAATTGTAAACAAAATAAATAGGGGTGATGACGGGGTACAGTAAACGAAATTCTATTTAGTCCGTCAGTTAGATGATCAAAAAATAATGGACACGTATTTTTTCTTTGGGCAATCAACCAAAAAATGACAAAGTTATAGCGCGTCAAAGTTTAGGAGTAGGGGCTCGTGACGTCACTTTTGAGTGAATTTTCACTTATAAGTGTACTCAAACGTGACGTCATGCTACTTTTCAAATCAATATATCTCTGCAATGTTTATAATATATGAAAAAAGAAAAAATACGTGTCCAATACTTTTTGATAATCTACCTGATAAACGAAGAATAAAAATTAGTCATCATCCCTATTATATATAAACTAAGGAGCAGAAAAATACGCATAGCAACAGATAAAAGGATTATAAATTAAATTCAATTGCTATATATCTAATAATATATGATTGTGTTGAACTGCATGTTGTGTTGTAAATAATTTATAGTAATTACCTATCCTCTCCCATTAGTTGAACTCTTCAATTGCAGAACTTAACGATCCCACGTCTGAGGTGTCGCGTTCCTGGTCAGCTTTGTACCTTCTTTGGTACGCCCACTTATGCATCCTGGTAGTCCGCTGTAAATATTACCACGCCTGGCTTCTATCGGAAGCGATATGCAACAATTGCGGAATGGGTTTCAATGGCTATGACACTGACGGTAAACCCAAATGGGATAAGATGACGAACATTGATGTTTTTGGATTCGAGGTAAGTAAACTCATAGCTACAGCAACTGTGGATTATTCAACATTCAGAAGCTTACTTTTGACCTTTTCGCGGTCGATAAAATTATCCATATTAATAAGAAATCACTCCATTGTTTGATGATGATGCATTGAAATTCCTACATTCTAATTTGTTTTATTGTTCCAATTATTTTTCCGTTTCGATGCGTGTGGGTATGGTTTACTGATATACATAATCTGTTTATATTGTTATCTAATAGTTGGCACAAAACTTCCGCGCGGCGCTGTCGAGCTGGAACAAGAACACGAACGCGTGGTTACGGAACGTAGCGTACGAGCGTGGCGGCGCCGCGTGGCGTACGGCGCGCGTGTATGCGCTGTCAGCGGTGTGGCACGGATTTTACCCCGGATACTACCTCACGTTCTTTGCAGGCGGTATCTTTACCATCGCCGCTAGGAAGGTCAGTGGGCTAGCGCTAATAGTGACATCACAGTTTACCGGAATGCCGAGTACGAACGTGGCGTACAGCGCGCGTGTAAGCGGTGTGGCACGGATTATACCCCGGATACTACCTCACGTTCTTTGCAGGCGGTATCTTTACCATCGCCGCTAGGAAGGTCAGTGGGCTAGCGCTAATAGTGATATCACAGTTTACCGGAATGCCGAGTACGAACGTGGCGTAACCATCGCCGCTAGGATGGTCAGTGAACTACATTTATAGGTTGACAAAATTGATGTTCGAATTGAGAGCTTTTCTGGTCTGCGATTGTAATGTAATGTAGTTGCCCCGGCTACTACTTACCTCACGTTCTATGCGGGCGGGATCTTTACCATCGCCGCTAGGAAGGTAAGAATACTAAGGCTCATAGTGATATCATATAGGTCGACGAATTTTATATCCCATTGGAGACCTATTGCGGTGTGGCGTAGCTGTTACTCCGCGTATGTTCGCAGGCGACATGTTCACCGCCTCACGCCTACGATGGTCAGTATATGTGGTACTAATGCGTATATTATCTATCTATCACATGAACATTTTTTTTGTCAGTAAACCGAAAAATTACAAATATAAAGTACGTCAAAGTTTAAGAGTGAGGGTTCATAACGCCAATTTTAAGTAAAATATTATTATAACTAGCGACCCGCCGCGGCTTTGAACGGGTGCAATGCTGATACTAAATATACTACAGATGTAAAGGGCCATATTGATCTATATGACATGCACAATCCATTTAAGGAACTTAATTGGATAAGGTTTGATGCTGTATTGCTCAAAATCGCTTTTTCGTAAATGAGCCATTATTTTCTCATAATAAGTAAACAATAAAGAATGGTGATTGTGGGTTATCCCTAAGAGATAGACAAATACCATCGTGGACTATTTTGTAGACCTTTTAAGGTGTACAATACTGTAGTACATTATTTTGATCTATCTCGTAGGGTTCAGCCAGCGTTTGCAATATAAGCGCAAAAAAATGAGTTTATTTACGACCTTACATTAAAAACCTCTAAAATTATCAGTGTATATCTATTAAAAAAAATGACGGGTTGCACTCCGGGAGTGCCGGCAGAAGTGAAAACTTAAATATTAACGTTGCACATTTTTTGATATTTTGGAATGGTTAGGGAATAATTTTGCACGAATTGCTTTAATTATCAGTATAAAAGTACTATAATGTATGTGGTAGAATACAATATTTATTTATTGCGCTTTCGTACACAAACATGACAATTTATATGTATTACATTAAAAAAGGTTTATCTCTCAGAAAAATCAACTTACATGAATCACATTTAAGCGCACCTAGCGACATCTATTGTAAAAAAATGCATTTTCTTCACAATAAAGCTGCCACTAGATAGAGACATTATTATAATACGGTAAAATAAAATATTACTATGTTTCGTCCAATATATTGAAAGTCAACTACCTTTCCAATTTTATTGTGTGTCATGATTCGATCAGCCCACGTGTTTATAGGAATGTGCGATCCGGGTCGTCGATCCGATTTTTCGGATCGTAATGGATCGTAATGTTACGATCTGATCCGCGGATCGGATCGCATGCCGTCGATCCGATCTTCAAGAAATCGGATCGGATTGGATACAATAAATAAGACAAATTATTTTAGATTTTTATTTGGTAAACCTATCAATAATCGTCACACCTAATCAGGTATAACTTTTGTTTATAATAATAGAATGTATAAGATTAACGGATCCACCTGCAAAGAATGCCGCCAAGTTAAAATGTAAACAAACCGCGTTTTAATTCATACGATCCAAGCGATCCGATCTTTCAAGTTTTGTAACGATCCGGCAAAAAATCGTATGGCGTCGATCCGATCCGAAAATCACCGGATCGTATGCCTTCCGATCCGATCTTTCAAAGGATCGGATCGGCGCATCCCTACGTGTTTAACCTGACGCGAGTTTAACATTTTTTACCCATAGAAAAAAACGTGTACAACGCCGCTAAAGAAGTTTTCACTTCAAAAAAAACGCATCAAAATCCGTAGATTTAAAGATCTAAGCATACATAGGGACAGACAGCGGGAAGCGCTTTTTTTGCTTTATACTATGTGGTGATTAAAAATTGTACAAAGCCGTGACGTTGTGCGCAATTGAAACTAATATTATTTTCTGTAATGTAATGATCATCTATGTAAAAAAAGAAAATATAGGTATATATACAATACTTTACGATAATCTAAGTGATAAACGAAGAAAAAAATTAAGTGATGACTAATCCTAGCTATTAACCTATCCAAAATACTTAATACCTAAGCATTACTCTAACTAATATATAAAATTCACGTGTCACAATGTTAGTTACCATACTCCTCCAAAACGGCTTGACTGATGTTTATGAAATTTTATATGCATATTCAGTAGGTCTAAGAATTGGCCACTTGTCTATTTTTGCCATTGGTCTATTTTTCATACCCCTATAAATTATAAGTGATAAGGGTTTTCCACCCCTAACACTTTTTTTCTTTATTTATTTATATATATTCTGTACACACAAATATAGATACAAGAGCAAGGACACAACTCATTTCAATCTGAAATTTCTTCCAGTGGGCCCATAGTAGGAAAGAATGTAAGACAAAGGCAGGCAAGCGTGTAAATCTGAATAAGTATACATACATGTTAAATACTGTAACGCCTGTAGCGTTACGGCCTTCTTGTTTGTATAAACTCTTTTCTTATGTGATGCCTACGGATGGTAGTTGTATTAAAAGTAAATGTCATTATTTTAAAGATTCAAACATGAGAACCTTCTGTCTAGTTAAATCCAGTTTTTTTTTGTTTGGAAGCTGTCCCCCAACTTGACGATGGTTGGGCGTAACTATTTCTAAGTAGGTTAAAGTAAGAAATAAACTTGCGCAGTAGATTTTTTTCTATGAAATACTGTGCTGCTATGCTAAAGAAGTTTGCCGGGGTATATACCTAGCTGTAATAAAGTTAAAGGGTCAATAGACACTTTTTTTAGATTATTTTAGTCAAGGGTTTTTTTTAATTTAAAAATATAATTAAAATTTATGTAACTTTTTCAGGTGCGCTGTGTAGCCCGACCTATATTTTTGGATAGCCGACCGAAAAAAATGTTTTATGATTTTCTGACTTTGGTGACGACACGGGTGGCGATGACGTATGCCACAGTACCTTTTGTTTTATTACACTTGGGACCAAGCCTAGCATTTTATGGGTAAGTTTGGCTGATTTTTTTAAACACTCGTGGACTTGTGTAGTTACCATCATAAACGACGCTAGCACTTTATGCTGAGACTTTTCATGGCTATTTGTGTTTGCTATTAATACTTGACAACAGTCTCTCCTTTCCTTTTCTATACTATAGAATATGATGAGGACAACCTACTGTAAAATGATAAATGGTAAATGTGTAGTTCTAACATCACTTAATTGTTCGAATTTGCTATTCGTAAAGGCCAACAAAGCTGCCATATTATTATCTCTTACAGCAGTTTACCTAAGTGAAACGCCATTTAAATTGACATAAGAATCTAATTATCGAAGTAAAACTTCTTTAGGAACGCTTGACTTGGGGGGGGTAAACTGGCGAATGTGTTACGATTTCGCGTTACGATTAGTGTCATTGGTGACTCATCGGTAAACAATGAACAATACCCGTCACAAAATGGACTCAGCGCAGGTTGGTGGGTGATAACGGACTCAGTGCGGATTGGTGTGTGATAACGGACCCAGCGCGGATTGGCGAGTGATAATGGACCCAACGCGGATTGGTGGGTGATAACGGACCCAGCGCGGATTGGTGGTTTTTTTTTCTATCAACAAATCTTCAGGTTAACTTTATGATTTTCAGATATATTAGAGCTAAAGAAGTTTCACTTCAGTCGTGTGGTCATAAGCACACTCGCTTTATTTTTATAACCATTAAAAGCGTCCCAATGTTGAGGAAGTTTTGAAATGGGAAACCTGTTGCAAAAATAGTTGTTTTGTTATGAGTCTTGAGTATTTTGTTATATATTTATATTTGATATGAAAATCGTAATTCTGTACAATTCAACAAGTTTTTTGTAACTACAGATTAGATGTACATTTCTGAATTATTTTTAGCACTAGTTTTGTTCAACAAATGCTTTTTTTGCAGTAAAATAATTATTTTGATGTAAAAAGTATTTAATTGCTGTAAATAACTTGATGGGCAATAATTTATTTGCTGTGCATTTAAAATTATCCCAATCTTTTACCCAACCCCACAAAAAGCCAGTTGCATTGTAATTGTGACCTCACAAATAAAATAGAAGCTGGAAGCATGGAAAAGGCAGAGGAAATTTTTGTGAACAAAATTTTCATAATCTTCCTTTCATTTAAAATGCTATGTTATTTAGAAAGTAAATAATCCTTATGAATAATCTTTTCGACGGATATCACAAAATACATAATTATTTTTTCACTTTTTAGGAGTTTGAGTAGTAGCAGGCGATTTTAAAAAAATCTGAATGCAATTCATTGTGTATCCAATCCAGCCTTCGTGTAGTAGGAACATTTATAGTTTTTATTTCTTTTACAGGAAGATGTATTATTCTTTGCACTTTATCGCGTTAAGTGCATTGCTTCTTCCAGACAAGCGGAAACATTCTGCAAATGCAGTTCAAAATAGTTCCAATCATAAAGAATCAAATGGTGAAACCGCCCCGTTGAAGGTTTCCTAATAGTAGGCAATTTAATTTAAATGTAGAATTATAATTTGGTGATTGTTTAACGGGTTGTCATTGTCACATAAAATATTTGGTATTAACTCTTATATGAGGCTAAACAATGCATTAATATCATTTCAATTTAGAAATAATGCTGCATTAACTTCATATTTTATGTAATAATTTGAATAATTTCACATTTACCCTTGTTTATCATTGCACAAAAAATGTATTAAATTAAGAACTAAATTATTACTAAAAAAGTAGTTAAGTACCTATTTGTCACAAAAGTGTACAATGACTGATATTGGTGTCATATCTATATAATGTATAGGCAAAATATTATTATTATGCCACATTGTAGGGTTGCAATCTTGTGAATGACAAAAACCAGACTGCACGCTGTAAAAATATTTTATTAAATCCTCTCTCAAATTAAATAAGTTACGAGACTTGAAAATATTTCCAAAAAGCCAAGTACGTCAGATACAGCCCAATAGTTAGATAGGCCCACGCAGCTTACTCCACTCTGTTCAGATGTATAATTTGAAAGTACTCGCCACGTCAATCCGGTGTGAATCAGTACTTAATGTCCGGACTAATTCAGAGGAAAAGTTAGACTTGGCTTGGAAGCCAATTTTTGCAACGAAAAAATTCTACTATGCAATTTTTTCGGCGGCGGTATAAATTGAGCCTTATATTCTTAAAGATTGCAACCTTCTTGTACCATACGTGATTTATAGGGTATAAAGATAAATAAGTATGTTATTGTTGGATTTTAATCATATTTCAAAACAGCAAGGCCGGACTCTATAATTTATTTGATAATTTGCATAATAAATTGAATTTTCTGATTAATAAAATTTGATGTAAAATATTTCTGTTATTGGCAGCTTTTTCAACTTGTAACCGTTTTGTCCTCAATGTCTTCTGTCTCTGAATTATTGTGTTTTGTTATTAATGAGTAATTAATTTATTTGTATTAATATATGGAACGGAGTACATACTGTGCAGTCTTTGTATAAATTGAACTTCATTTTGAATATTTTCTACTGTTATTGTAAACCTTATTATTTTTTCTTTATTTACCAGAAAAGAAATAAGGTGATTAAAGTATTAAAGTAGTCTTTAACAGTTGTTTAGTCCTAAACCTCTCATTAATTGGGCATATAATGTAGGCAATGGTCCTTCAATTGACATGTCAATCCCTGCATACAACTTTTTTGTATTACATACCTACATGAGCTCTTATTTTGCACAAATTAAATTGAGCATATACTTATTTCATAATATTCCATGTAAGTATACATGTTTTTGATTTTTTTAAATAAAGCAATAGTAAAAGTAATTCGCCAATGGGAAAGAAAACTCAAAGCTCATTACAGAAGGTTTTGCACTCGCCTGTTTGTCAATTTCAGTCTATTGATTTGAATCGTTTTTTCTTGCGAAATTGTATAAAATTTACTAAATAAAAATTAAAATACCTATTTAAATCTTCGTGTTGTTACTTCAAAAGTTTTAGTGTTTTCATTAGTATAATTTTGTTACCGTAAAGAGGGGCTGATTAGAACATTTATTTATGAAAGAGATGTTTTACAAAAACGGCAGTTAGTTTATCAATATAGATCGTTAGTTTTGGGTAGATCTCACAATTTTCTTTAAATGACTACTATAACTGAACATTTTCTGTCAATAGATCCATAGTTTTTTTTTTAAAGCAGTCGTTCCAAATATCGCATTGATGAGGTTATTTGGTAGCACACTCTATTGCTTTGGGTTTTCTTATTTTTTGAAACCTTGTCGAAAAGATATCCATGAGCAATATTTGAAAAAGTTAAAGGAAAAGGAGCTTTCTTCAGTTTATCTCAATTTCACTTCATTCAGTCAATAAAAAAGTGAAAACTGCCATTAATTATGTAGACGTAATGATAAGCAATCGCTACTTGGCATTATTTGAAATATAACGTTAAATATACAATGTGTTATTAACAAGAATGAAGCAATATTTTGAATATTTAAGGAGAAGCCTTTTTTATTTTCTCCCGCTTGATTAAAAAAAGTATACCATCGGTTGGTTTGGTAGATAGAAGACATTACAGAAAATTGTATGGGCTGCATGGAGCACCCCCACTAGAGTCCGCATCACACAAATTTTGTTTGGAATCAAAATCGCCAAAGTCGGTGGGGTGCAGGGAGGTCAGCCCCGCTGTGATTGGACGCGTCAAGGTCAGATCATATACTCAGTGCAGCGAAGTGATGAGGGTAAGATCGATTTTAGAAAATATCGATATTTTCTATCGATAAACAATTTAGAATAGAGGCCTAGTACTTTGGTGCGCGAGTGTAAGCAAATGCGTAATCATACCCTCTCCACTTTCTTCCAGCGTTCTAATTACATGACACGACTAGTAACTACATACTAAATTATATATAAGCAACACAAAAAAAAACACGCCCAGGACAAGAAGTATTAATGCAACGATATTAACTACCCTAGATACAACAACACGAACAAAATCGTGGCCGAAACGTGTCCAAAAGGTACATTGGACGATCCACGGAGGTCCGTAAGATGATCGCGTGGTCAAAAACAATATAATGCCATATTTAAACATTGAAAGTCACCTTTAATGCATACGGCATAAGGTCTTAATTAAAATGCATGCGTCAAGTACGTAAAATTTTACGATTTATTGTTATGTGTGAAAGAATATAGACCTAATTTTTTTGACTTTTCGCGCGCAATTCTGAATGCGCTGTTAGCAATATAGCAGGTACAGATCGCGAAGAAAAGAGATGTATATGATCACAAAGATTTTATATTAAATCAGTTTATAGTAAGTATTACAACAATAAAATTTGCTTTAAAGGCGTTAATTAAAAAACATTAATTAGCTACCCGTCGCAAAAACGACACTTTACGTACTATTAGTATTTTTCTGTATTTTTTCACGGAATTCTTTGGCATCTTGACTTTTCAACGGTCCGCGATTGAGTGGAGTTCAAGTACTTCTTGATGGGGACACATTTTGAGCGCTCGTAGTGTTTCTAGGATATTTAATATCGTTAATTCTATGTCTTTATCTAGGTCATAAACTATGCGCACTTAATTTCATACAAATCCGTTTAACCGTTTTAGCGTGAAAGAGTAACAAATAGGCATACAAATTTACGCGTTTTTTCAATTTTATTAAGATATGTTTGAAGTCAAATAAAAACTGTTGGTTGTATACTCATGACATCTATTATTGTATACGATGAAATAAATAGTTTTTATTTATTTTTTCAATTTCCATAGCTGACAAACTTATCGATAAACTTACGCGTTGAGACATGAGCTGCGTCTGAGTCACTAGCAATACACGTGCCGGTGTGAAAGCGAGATAGCATATATGATGTAGCCCATGCGAGAAAGGGATAGTAGTGTAAAAAGACATCAACGCGTTCACCAAAAAATAAATACAATTAACACCAATTTAATATAACAGTATTTTTGTCTTTTTGTAATGCATTTAAACTAACCAGTGAAAAGTAATACCATTTTTTTTAAGACTGGAAGTTGTACTCGACTTTCCACACAATTTAATTGCACAGTACGGCATTTTTTACAGTTTTTTAACACGAAAACGAGAGAAGCAGTTCGACCAACGCTCGGTTACCGAATGAAACGATGTATCGCGACGTCTGTAGGCGTGCCTCACGCATAGGTAAAATACTACTTATGCTTGGCGTAAGCGCTTGCCCTTGTATGCGGACTCTAGTGGGGGTGCTCCGTGATGGGCAGGCACATATAAAACGCCATCTCTTCATCTTTTGGGTTGGATGGCCGGCTTTTTCTTGTGTGCAGTTTATATTTCGGCATTTCCTGCTTAAATTACTCTTTGCTTATATTGTATTTTTCAGCTGCTTCTTTTAATTAAAGTAAGTCATTTTGAATTGCTTCTATGGCTGTATGTAAATCTTCATTAGAATAACTCAAGTAAGGTGAACGATTCTTTCCATTACGTGAATTTGTGAACTTTATTTGGCATGTTTGGACCATGCTTTCATGTCTGTAGTATAAAATGAAAAAACTATAAATGAAACATTTTGTTAAAAAAATAGTGGCGCGAAACCATCTTACCCATAATTAAGTCAAAATGAGCAATTGGGGTTATTTGAAACGATGAATAGTATACTTAGCAATGATCGACAGACTTTCAAGGGGCTATTTAAAACAAGTTTCTATTATAAAAGCCCTATACATAAAAACCGAAAAGCATGGCAGGCCGTAAGAGATAGAAAAATGCAAATTGAATCACTAAAATGCAGATGAAAAACGCTTATGTATTTCGCAATCTATTTCACTCTATACATATTAGTGATGTAACGAATGTAATTTTTTGAACATTCGCGAATGCGGATGCAAATATCTGGTACCGACATTCGCGAATGCGAATATATATGTTTTTGTTCAAAATTGGCGCCAATTGTCTATGGCATGGTGCAGTCTCGTTCGAATTGCCGAGTTGATATGAACTCATCTGACTGAAGTGTCATTCCGCTCGCGCCGGTCGTTTCGTAAACAAAACAAGTGAATTTTGAGGTTAGAGTTTGAATAGCGATTAATTAACATGCGTAAATGAAATTCTAGTGAAAAATCGACTTATTTCACACTTTGCGATGCTGAACGAGCTAAATGCAAGCTGTGTTACAATGAATATTCAAGGAAAGGAAGAACTACAATTTCTTCAAATTGTTTTTTTTTATATTCATATTCGCAAAACATTCGCAGAGATTTTGCGAATGCGAATGTGACGTGTATCGCTGCCGGCAGCGGCAGCCTACTGATTGAATGCATCCCCGTCCCGCGAACCATCGGTAATGATTATAGGTAGGGTCGACTCTAGTGGTCAAGCTATAATGACATTATGATTTACCTACATTAGAATTTATTATTTGATGTGTCCTATTTTGATGTCGTGAATAATTTGGGCCAATTGATAACAGCGACTCTGGCGGCAAGTATTGTCAGTTTTCTTCCCCATTGGTATAATATACTTACAAATTATTGTAAAAACTAAATTCTTGCCAGTGCCGCAAGGCAATATTAAACTTGCAACGCACTATAGAATAGTATTATTGTTTAGTGAACTTATAAAATTGAGAAATATCTGAGTACCTAAGTGGAATCATATTTTTGTTAATGATAATTTTATATACCTAACATTATGTTAAACAAAATAAAACTCTATGTTTATTTAAGTCTTTTATTAGTACAACAGTACTTTATATATAATTATATATATATTTATGCCTATGATTATTTACCTCTTCATTTCAGCCACAGTTCTCCCCCTCATAATTGCCATGCCCATTATAAATGCGAGCGTGGTATGGGTAGCGACAAACTTCTTGAGCTAGACCACATACAAATAAACATACACAGTAGATGATTTTGAGGAGCTCGATAGCGCGTTCGGCTGCGGTCGTTGAAGTTGAGCAACTTTCGCAGTGGTCGGTCATTGGATGGGTGATGAAAAATTTACTATCTCGAGCTCCTCCGTGCTTCGGAAGGCACGTTAAGCCGTTGGTCCCGGCTGCATCTGCAGTCGTTAGCACCCACCAACCCGCAATGATGAGATGATTTTATAAAATTGCTACTTCAGAGGCTCTGTGTCCATGGTTTATGCCCATGTTGGTGAATGTTCAAGAGGTTTATGCTTAAAGAAGAATTGTAACTTTTGGTGTGCACAATGGAAGCTTATTCCATGCTACATAGCCTATGTTATTGTTTATTTTTTTTTCTAAATGAAATGAATTCTGTTGCCAACCACTAAATTGAATCGCATCGCTGTATGCGGCGAGCGCTCACGTCTAGGTAAGGTTCGTAAAAGTTACAACTCAGTGCGTACGCGATGTCGTCACCGAGTTTAAAGAAAAATATAAAATTATGCGATGCCCTATGGGGTTGATCGTCTACAAAGATTTACCTGGGAAATTTTAACCAAGAAGTAAATTTGAATGCCAATGACGATTCTGCTATAGAAAAAATAAAATCTTCCTTTCAAAAAGTATTACTTGCAATGCTTGCAACAGAGGTCAATGCAAAGTCATGTGGTTTTCAACGGGGTTTACACACACGTTTGAAACAAAAAAAAAAACATTTCAGCTTAATAATAATTTTATTAGTACCTTTATATCGTGTGTCTCATGCAAGGGGCGTGCGTATACACAAATTCTTTTTTTTTCACTATGTTATTCGTATTCCTGGTACCTATAAACACAGATATAACGTAGTTTTTTAAATAACTCATAAACACTAAAAGTAAGTATGAAGTGCTATACTCATAAATTTATCATGCAAAAAAGGCGCATAAAATATAGTTTTCGAAAACTATTAAAATATAATAAAAATGAAATCATTAAGCTAAGTCTGGTTTAGTTTCCAAATATGACTATCCAATTAAGAAAACTTTACCATTATTTAATAATGTTGCAGTAAGTTTTTATTACATTTTGGCCTAAGTAGTCTAGCAGATTTAACCTGCAATACCAAAAATAAGTACCAAAACTATCGTTCATTGCATCATAAATAGATTTTACTTCATACCTCTCAATCATGCTATTCTTTAGTAATTCATAGAAATTATAAATTCATAACCTACAACAAGATATACAGTTTTTAATTCGTCCTCGTAGTGTTTACGCGTATACACCCCTATTGCACGAGACTCGCAACATGGGTTATTTACATTTAAATATACTATGAAAATGAGTCAGGGCGCTTGTTAACGAAACGATTTCTACCTGGGTCTGGGCACAGTTACAAACCGTGTCTACGCCTGGTCGTCAGTTAGGTATGAGACACTATGTTTGGAGTTCACAAAAACCGTGCTTGTGAACAAGCTTAGCCAGCACCGGCCTGGACGTCGTCCCGGGTAGAAATCATCTTATTAACAAGCGCCCCTAGGGTAGCTACACATAATCGGGTCGGCACTAACCGGCACAGCCGGGCGGTAAAATCGAATGTGTGTAGATGAATAGTCAGTAGTCATAACCTACTACGGCAGATTACTCTGGCGCCGGGGAAGTTAGAATATACAAAGATAGATGGCTCCAAAACCAACAGTGGTACTGGACCCGTTTTCTCAAACGACCTGAATATAAAAATATCTACAGCCTTAGACTGGATTGGCATTACAAGAGCGGCAGAGGCGGTTACAGCCAGAGACATCAGAGATTTTAACATTAACCGGTGGTAAACAAGAGACTTGCCCGCACCCTTACCAGACTAAATAGGGACAAACTTGGCAAGATTATATGAACCCTGACTGTTCATTGTCCCCTTAACAAATACCTATATACAATAGGAGTAACAGACAGCCCCCTATGAAAAGGATGCATGGAGGCAGAAGAAACGTCACAGCATGTCATAATTGAATGCAGGAGTGTGGCCGACCAACGGGCACGACTTCTCCAGTCACGAGAATCGCTTCCGGAAGCTTGCAGCAGTCTGCCAGGGCTGCTTTCCCTCTGGACTAACTTAGGCTGGCTGGAGTAAACGGGAATTTTTCGAGACTCGTGCAATGGTCTAATAATTAGGACTAAGTGCGGAGACCGCCCCGGATAACTAACCAACTACGGGTCGGCTTTGTTGTTCGACAAGTATTCCCGGAGCGACTATTCCACCAGCCCGATTGTGTGGTGCCCTTAGAAGCAAAGTTTCATTGTAGCAATTATTTACTTATTAATTACTAACACAAGAAGCTTACAGATGGTGATAGTAGTATGTTATGTTTCTGATTCGAATATTATTTACATTTACTTTGCTTCATAACACTGTATGCCTGTCTTATGCAACATAACAGTTCAGGCACATCATTGTTCTCTTGTAATCTTCTTTGATACTCCTTCAGCATTTTTAGTTTTGGCGTAGTGTTTAGCACTAAAAGGATAAAAAAAATGCAACACAATCAATCAAATTGTTCAGCTGTCTCATTGTAAAGCAAAGTTTAGATGGTCGCGCGTCAAAGGAGTTCAGGTGATGAGCAATAATACACGGCTACCCTCATACATTTTGCACTGCCTCATATGTTTGCACCTAACAAGTCGCGCGGACCGTTTAAGCAGGTCAATACTTGACTATTAGAACTCAATACACGAGTAAGCACGCATTTACGCGCGTAAGCACGCATTTACGCGTGTAAGCACACATTTACGCGCGTATCAAGATACCTGCGACGGAGCAGCGACGATCGTGCAATCATCTAAATGGTCCTATGTAATTATTTAGAAATTTCTTACGCGCGTTAGAATGTACGCGCGTTGTCGTTCGAACATCTGGTCTTAGCAGGACTTATATTTGTGTATTCATAAGCAAAGAAAACTTTCTTTGTTAAATGTTTTATTTACAGCTATGAGCTAGCTTTAAATTAGTTCTTCATACAAAGTTTCATCTTCTTCATTCGAAAGCAAATGGTAAGCCAAGTAATACAGTGTGTACAACATTAATAAGACAAAATAGAATAGATAATAAATAACAATCTTTATAGACACATTGTGGGTCTCATGTAACAGGTGCGTATCCATTTGTCTTCTTGGTACCCATAAACACAAAAAGTATTATAATATTATATACCTTATTTAAAATAACAAAAAACGCTAAAAGAAGTATTATTATAGCGCTAATATATAAAAAGTGTTCTGTTCTACAACTTTTGTCTGGAGTTGTGCTTGACTTCTTCTTTTTAACTATCAGGGGGAAAATCCATTGACTCCTCCACCACGTGTCTGTTTGCAAAGCTGTTCTGTCCATCGATGAGGCTAAGGAGGCGCCCTCCGCCGAAACCTCTTGAAACAGTCGTCAATGCTAATGAGGCATGATGCCATATCATTAAGGTGTGATTTGAGGCGTCAACTGTACAGTTTGGCCACTTCTTCTATTTCTTGTTTCACATTTGGTACACCTAAGTCTTAGTGTAATTGATCATTTGTTATGTACCACGGAGCATCAGCAATCATACGCAAGGTTTTAGATTGAAACCGTTGTATTATTTATATGTTTGAAGCAGAGGCACACCCACAGCTGCGGTCCGTACAGATTTTGTTTCATTTGCTCTAATACGCCAATCTTTGAACCAACATGATGCTCCATCTAGTCTTTTCTACCGTATTTCAGATGCCACCACTGCATTCTCATGACTAGCAAGTATAGCAGTATCGTCAGCAAATGTGCCAAACAGATCTGCGTCATTAGATGGTAAGTCGAAAGGGTATAATAAGTATAGTGGTGGCCCCATGACGCTACCCTGCGGGACACCAGTTTCAATTTGATGTAAGAATGATATATAGTCTCCTTCTTTAATGTAGAAATGGCGTTCTTTTAGATTTGATTTTATAAATGTGTAGTAGTTTGCGGAAAATGTAAAGATTTTGTGTTACAATCCATCATGTCAGACACGGTCAAACGCCTGTGAAATGTCTAAGGATGCAGCAGTGCAAACTGTTTATTTTCAAAAATAAGTCTTTTCAGGAATAGCATCTCCAAAATCTTTGAAGGTACAGGTTAAAGACTGATTTGTCGATATGATGTTACGCTTTCAGGAGGTTTGCCCTGTTTATGAATGAGAATAATCTCAGCTACTTTCCATTCGAGGGGAAAACAACTTCTTAAAAAAATAGCATTATATAACTGTGTTAGGAATACAAGGCCAATATCCGGAAGCTCACGTAGTACTTTAGCGGTTGTTAGGTCACACCCAGGGGCTTTATGCACTTTAAATTTTAAGATTGTTGACTTAACTTCCCGTTTGCTAAATTTAGGTATTGGTAAGTCCATTTGGTGGGGCTTATTTAATTGGTCTTGCACAGTTTTTGATTTTGTACCAAGGTCGGGGTTGGGTTTGAATACCCGGCTTAGGTGTTCAACAAAGATTTGGGCTTTTTCTGCGTCGGTTTTAGCCCATGTTCCGTCTCCTTTGCGTAAAGGGGATTTATATGTTTGAGGGTGTCTTAACTTTTTCGTAGCCTTCCATAGCTTGTTGCACTAGTTGTATCCAAGCCTGTCAGGTACTTTTTGACATTAGTATTTTCTTTTAGAAGTTCCTTCAGTTCGTAGGTAAGTTTATTAAAAATGATTTTATCAGCAGGATGACGAGTTTCTTTCCAATTTTTTTCTAGCTTTCCGTTTTCTTTGTCTATAGTTAGCGATTTCCTTGGGATATAAAAAAAAATATTTGTAGGAACGGCGTTGGAGTTGCAGCCCAGCCTGCTTGCTGGATGCAACTGTTAAAAATTTCTACAGCTTCGATTATGTCACTATCCGATTTAAGTAGAATATCTGTAAATTTACTTCTTTGTGTATGTCAATTATAATAAGAGAATGATCTGAATGCAAATCATAATTTTTGATGACCTCCGTGGTCGAGTGGTTTGTACGCCGGGTTTCATGGTGTCGCCGACTCGAGAGGTCCCAGGTTCGAATCCCGGTGGGGATTGTGTGATGAATACGATGTTTGTGTGATGAATACGAGCATTTGTACTCCAGTCATGGATGTTTAATATGTATTCTATCCGTTACCCCTAGCATCCCATAACACAAGCCTTACAGTGCTTACTTTGGGGCTAGGCTAATTGGTGTGAGTGTTGGGCATATTTATTATTATTATTATTATAATTTGTATAACATACTATTTTTGATTCTGACAGACCTTTGCTTACGAAAAAGTCTACAGATGTGATTATAGTTAGGAGCCAGAGTAGCCCTATAGAGTTTACGACCTTTGGTTGCAATTCTGGATCTCTATATTGTATTTTTAGAATTATAATCACCACCCGCAATAAATCTCTGTCCTAGTGTTTCAAAGTAGCTTATGTAGTTTTCATATTTGAGCAGATACTGTTATTTTTCCATTACTTTCTTCTATTGTTATGTTCGTCGCATAATTAGCTCTAGTGCAGTAAGAGTCCGCCTTATAATGTTTAATGTATTTGCGGATGAGAATGCCAGAGCCTTCGTGTGCATTGCTATCAGTGTGCATAGTGTGATAAATATCGTATTTTGAAATTTTAAAGAAGCTTTTAGTCCTAAAATGAGTTTCGAAAATCAATAAATATGTCTATTTTATTTGTGTTTAGAAAGGTTTCTACTTCAAGAGTCTAAATAGGGAGCCCATTGGCATCGAGTTCAAAATCAAAAATCATTTATTCAGTCTAGGCTGTTACAAGCACTTGTGAAGGTCAAGAAGCTACGCCATCGGTTCGCAAAACTACGGCCGGAGACCTTGTACTGAGAAGAACCGGCAATAAACTCAGCTAGGGCTCTTTTTTCTCCCTGTATTGTTATATACACTCATCAAGTTGATAAATGACTTCATTGATACTTCTGCTCATGATCTTAATGATCATTTAAATAATCATCAACTTTATAATTATTCATAAGAGAATTCTTGATCTGAGATTTAAATTTGGTCAATAAAATCTTGGGGAACTTTATTAAACAATGCAATAAGAGGTTCATATCTGGGTTGTAGAAGGACCCAGAAATGAACCTGTTGACTTGTGGAGTCTGAAACATTGAACGGCAATCACATTCTTAAATCTCATGTTAAAGTTATGGGTTTGACTTTTTTTTGCAAATGCGTCATGCTTTTTTCTTACATATATGATGTTTTCATAAATGTAGGTATATTACCCTAGCGTAACAATTTCATAAGTCCATATCCTAAGGTATATAGTATTTTGTTGCTAATTTGTTGCTATTTTGTGCCGCAAGAATTGATTTTGTTGCTCCATGATTTCTCCGAAAAACGCCTGTTATGCTAGCGTAATATTACGCTAGCGAAACCACAGCGATAACTCAGAGGCAAAAGCAGTTAGAGAGATCAGATGAACGGCATATTTTGTTGCTATTTTGTTGCTGTAAGATAAGCTGTTTAGATATGGAAAAATTCCCCCCCTTCATGGGGGGCTAACTACCCTTATTCTTAGATATTTCAGATTTTTCGTATCTCGTGAACTAAAGCAGCTAGCGGCACGAGACAAACGGCGTATTTTGTTGCTATTTTGTTGCTGTAAGATAAGCTGGTTAGATATGGAAAAATTCCCCCCCTTCATGGGGGGCTAACTACCCTTATTCTTAGATATTTCAGATTTTTCGTATCTTGTGAACTAAAGGAGGCACGAGACAAACGCCGTATTTTGTTGCTATAAGGTAGGCATGCTGCGTACATCATAATCACAACCCTTATCGGGGTATGACCAACCCCCGACCTCAAGACACCAGATAATTCGTATCTCGTGAGCTAAAGCAGCTAGCGACCCGAACCCAACGGCGTATTTTATTGCTATTAGATAGGCATGCTGCGACCATCATAATCACAACCCTTATCGGGGTATGATCAACCCCCAACCCCGAAGACACCAGATATTTCGTATCTCGTGAGCTAAAGCAGCTAGCGACCCGAGACCAACGGCGTATTTTGTTGCTATGAGATAGGCATGCTGCGTACATCATAATCACAACCCTTATCGGGGTATGATCTACCCCCGACCCCGAAGACACCAGATATTTCGTATCTCGTGAGCTAAAGCAGCTAGCGACCCGAGACCAACGGCGTATTTTGTTGCTATGAGATAGGCATGCTGCGTACATCATAATCACAACCCTTATCGGGGTATGATCTACCCCCGACCCCGAAGACACCAGATATTTCGTATCTCGTGAGCTAAAGCAGCTAGCGACCCGAGACCAACGGCGTATTTTGTTGCTATGAGATAGGCATGCTGCGTACATCATAATCACAACCCTTATCGGGGTATGATCTACCCCCGACCCTGAAGACACCAGATATTTCGTATCTCGTGAACTAAAGCAGCTAGCGGCACGAGACAAACGGCGTATTTTGTTGCTGTAAGATAAGCTGGTTAGATATGAAAAAATATCAG